GGGGGGCGGGGGAGCAAAGCCTCTGAGGACGCCGGCAGTGGGACAGCTGTGGCGCGTCTGGGCTGTCCCGCTGCCCGCATGCTCCGCGGCTTTGCTCCGCGTCTTCCTGGTCTGCTGGGGGGGCTCCCCCCTGCAGCAGACCAGGGAGACACGGAGCAGCTTTTCTCACCCCAGAGGACGCGGGCGGCGGGACCGCGGCGCATCTGGGCGTCCCGCTGCTCCCGTCCTCCAGGGTGAGAAAAGCCCCGTTCGTAACTGTGGATCCGACATAAGTCAGATCCGCATAACTCGGGGACTGCCTGTAGTATAACTCATTCTGGAAATAGCAACGTTGCTTTCAAAACAGATTAATGACAATGGGATAAAATGTCAGATAAATCAAAACTAGATTTTTTCTGTGTGGGCAAGTGTCAATTTCTGCCAAAAAAAAAAATTGAGGTTATAAGTAGAAAAAGCTTCCCATGTAGATAAGCCCTTAAAATTGTACTGATAACCATACATTTGGCATTTTCTAATTTTTGAATGCATGACTTTGCAATGTAAAATGTTCTTTTCACATACCTTTTAATGCAATTTCTGTCATAAACTCTGAAAGGGAGAATTTTTTGTGGCCAGTTTTAGTCCTAGAGACTCATGCAGCTTACACGCTAAGGCTGTGTCCAGACTCAGGTTTGTTTTTTTTGAAAAAAGTAGCCTTTTTTCGAAAAATCTTCACCTGCGTCTAGACTGCAGCTGCCTTCTTTCAAAATTAAATCGAAAGAACGCGGCTTTCCTTTCGACGGCGGTAAACCTCATTTCACGAGGAAGAATGCCTTTTTTCGAAAGTACTCTTTCGAAAAAAGGCATTCTTGAATGCCAACAGGGCTTTTTAGAAAGAGAGCATCCAGACTCACTCGCTGCTTTCTTTCGAAAAAGCGGCTTGCTTTTTCGAAAGTACTGCTTGCAGTCTAGACGCTCTTTTTCGAAAGAGGCTTTTTCAAAAGATACTTTCAAAAAATCCTCTTTCGAAAGAAGCTTGCAGTCTAGACATAGCCTAAGGGCCAAATATAAGCCTCCATACCTTTGCATCTCCAGTGAAAGGATACGTTAGTGTGAATCAAAATAAAGTTTAGCCCATAGTTTGATACTTCAGTGCACTTTAGAAATAGAAAACAAAGTGCTATAATGATCAGTATAAACCTATATAATTATTTAGTTCTTGAATTGCAGCTATGCCAAAGGCTCCACACAGGTTTTGGCCCTGTTGGACAGGCACCATTCACAACCAAAGCAAGAGCATAATCTATGTGAACAATTGGGGGTGTAAGGACAGGAGGACAAGTGTGACAATGATAGGAACACATGGTTATATTGACTTGCCCTATGCAACACCTAGATGGCTTGAGTAATTTAAACTTATACATAAATAAAACACAATACTCATCACTAGTTCTTCTAGCATACAATAGCCATGTTGTTAAATTCTTTCGAAGTTACACTGCCATATTTTTTCAATACAGTGGATCAGCACTCAGGAAGACCTTGTATAGATTTTCTAGACAATCCTAAAGAGTGGAACGGAAAATTAACGATGAGTAGCATTATACTCGCTATCCAGGTAAGGAAAGAGTATTGCAAACAGCTTAGTTTAAATCTCTTTCATAAAATAAAACACCTTTTATGTATACTTTACCTATATAGCAGGGATTTCAAACCTGCAAGCTGATTGTTTGATGAAGAATTATTCATTTGGTTCAAAATTTAAAAATGTAAATGTCTGGATTACTTCAGAGCAGCAGCAAATATATTTTGTAGAACTTCTTATTTTAAATTAGATTAATTTATTTTTACTTGTGTATTTATTCCCTAGTGTTTCATGTGGCAGCACATTACTTCTGAGTAAGGCAGATAGATAAATGAATGAGTATGATTGAAGCTGTTGCCAGTGCTAAATATTTTTGACCAGTAGCTACTTTGATCTTTTGGATTTATGCTCTCTTATCTTGAGCAAGCCACTGCTCAAGACATGTGTACTCTGCCTGATTCTCTGTACTTTTAAAAATACTTGAAAAATGCTGATAACTCTACTTTTAAATTCCTGAATTATCTCATGGTAAAAGTCTTGATCATGAGTGTTGGCATGTGTCTTGAGATTAGTGAGTAACTCAAAGCAGCTACGTTTAGTTTTAACACACAGGCCTCAGTGTTTCAAATTTACTGCCTTTTCTTCCACCAAAAAAAAATTTTTTTTTAAATCATACAGCTTTCTCCTTGTAGCAAGCCCGACCTCCTTTTTTAATGTCTTTCCCATCACTGTGCTCTCCACTCATGACTGAAAATGTCCCCCAGATGTTGCATGATTTTTGTGGACATCCTAGTATTGGCTATGAGTAAAACAAATGGCAGAGTCGTGTATCATTCATGGCTGTCTGCTTGGAATTATACAAAAACCTGAGAGAAAACAGGAAGAAGGGAGCATAGGTTATGACCACACAGCCCTTTTCTAAGGTAATTTAATGAAGGGCCCAATCCCAATCCTAACAAAGCCATTAAGTGGCCTCTTTTTTGCTTTGAACTTAACATGCCAATATGGTATTAATTTCATTGTAAAACAATAAAAACAATTTAGATGGATTGCGTGTCTGAGACGGGTAGATGTTTTAGATACCAATATGTCCTCTCTCTCTGTATGTGTGTGTGTGTTTATACCTTTCTACAGGTAATGCTTTCTAATCCAGAACTGGAAAATGCAGTGAATGTGGAAGCAGCAGAGATGCTGAAAAACAACATATCCTTGTACAGACAAATGGTTCTACGTTGTGTTAGAACTAGCCAACACTTAGAGGGTAATATTTGCTTTGTTATTACCCATAAATAGAGTCTTGTTATTTTTAAAACTCCTTATCTAAAAACAGATTGTTGTATGCTCCACAGTAAAATTACATTAGTCTGATTGGTAATTGGTAATTTAATGTCAAAACAAACGCCAGTTGGTGTTTTGAAAGGGAATATTCTGAGTGGATAAAAGTGTTGCTATAAATTATATGTTGGTGAATGAGCTCTAGAGTAATTTACATAGTGATATTGGAGAAAGTCAGATTTGTTTCAGGAAAAGTAAGTCAGAGGAAGGGTGTTAGATGAATTGTATTTGTCTTGATGAGAATCTTCATGAGAATGACATTCAGAGTATGTCTGGACTGCGGTGCTATTTCAGGATATCGGAAGTATCCTGAAATAGCAACGCCACATCTTTAAACGCTCCCACTATTTCCCGAAATAGCGGGCGCACTATTCTAGCGTCCCTGTAACCCTCATGTTGGGATTTGTCTGAATAGTGCCTTATTTTGAAATTAAATTTCAAAATAAGCTCTTTCAACCTAGACTCAGGATAAACATAGCGCAAATTGCGTAGCTTATTCTGACAGAAGGATGCTGTCTAGACACACCCTTAGCTATGATTATGCTATATAATGACAAGACTGCAGAAGCAACTACTGCTAGGGTAAAAATTGGGGCCGAATTTGGGTCAGTAAGTATATTTCATGTTATTGATGCTAGGAGAGCATATGGGGGGAATAAGAAAATGTGGAACTGCAACTGTACTTCCTCTCCATGAGCCAAATTCCAGTGCACTGACCACTTTATGCCACTCAGATGTCACAAAATGGCTGTATTCTGACAATAATGGGAAGAGCCCTGTGTGAATACAAAAATGTGGCTCCGGATCTGCCAGGCTCAACTCCTCATCTGATCCACAATCCCTGGACAACAAATCTGTACAACAAATCTGGAAGGGGAGCAGAGATGAGCAAGAGGAGACAGGGTCCTGTAGGGAAGAGGCAGGAAACATCTGGGGGGAGGGTGGAAAGAGAGAGAGAGAGAGAGTGTGTGTGTGTGTGTGTGTGTGTGTGTGTGTAGGTAGGGTAGTTGTCACATTTTCTATTTTTTTATTAATCTCTTTCGAGTGCTGCCATTTCTGTTTCTACATACAGAAAGGGGGAAATGGGGATCCAGAGCCACCTGTTGCATTTCCACTCTTGTGGAGGCTGCTGTCCTTTTCAGCAGTGTGCCAGGGCTCCGCAGGACAGTGCTCACCAGATGGGACATGGGAGAGGGGCTGGGCAGGGCTGGCACTTGGCCCCTCCTGCAGGGAGATTTAGGACAATACTTCTTGCATCCACAGGTATCCGCTTCACTATCCATTCCACTGTCCGTGGGTATCTGCATTGGCAGAGCTGGATATCTGTGGATATCTGCGGATATGCAAGGCTCTAAGGAGTTAGTGCCTAGAAGAAAATTCCCCTGTTGCAGAGGACCTTCCTGCTCGCACAAAGCCATGAGCATCAGCTGCTGTGCCAGCTGCCTGCCCGAACCTTTGGTGTACTGTATGGAACAGCTGCACTCCTTTTGACGTCTATTATTAACGAGAGGGACAGGCGGAGGAGTGTACATGCAGAGGTGAATCAAGTCCAATATTTGTATCATAGTGCAGATGTGGTAGCTTGTCAATTATGAGTATGGGGCGGCGGGGGGCAGGGAGGGATATAGGACCGATCTTTATCTGATATAAACCAACGTAGCTCCATTGAAGTCACTGAAATGGAACCAATTTACAGGATCTGGCTCATAACTTTTTTTTAAAATGTCTTCCTTCACCTTTGCAGACCTTCCTAGCACTGGGGGAGATTGTGCTTCTTCTCTGAAGTATTTCTTGCCATCTGAAGCATCTTCTCAGGACCATGTCAGGTAACTGATTATGATGAACTTAATGATCCCACTCCATTGACTTAAGAGCAAAGCATCCACTGATAACTTCAAAAGAAGAAATGCCAGGCTCAGGTTGTATTATGATCTGTATCCCAAAAAGAGCAATTATTTTCCTTTTCCTGGTAGTGGCTATTCCCAATTATTTAATTTCCATTTGGAAACATTGGGCAAGCAGCTGCCTTCACAGCTATTGGAAGTAATTCTAATTTCCACATGAAATGAGCCAGGAAACGTGTCATTGTTGGGCCAAGTGATATTTTGGTTTGGCCTAGTCAGGGGCATTTATTCTAGGAGATGATACATGTTTAAGGCCATTTATTATTTTAATAGTATAGGAAAATCAATTAATTATTTCCAGAATATACTAGATCATTTTTATTTTATATTAATTTCCATTGCAATAGATTTGTGCATGGTGTTAGTACTGAAATAATTCTGAAGTTAAATTTCAAGCTAACACACACTAGGGCCTAATTCACGCCTCTTGCACCAACTCTGGAATCTGATTGTTTCTGATCACCTGTGAATTCCCTTAGTGTTAGAGTCTGAAGTTCATTAGTGAGTTCCAACCCCACCATATCTCCAGGAACTGGTGTTTAGATTGTGTCCCAGGCAATAGGGGTGATGTTCTGGCCCTACTAAAGTCACAGACAAAACTCTCTTTGACTTCACATTTCATAGTTATGCATGAACTTCAGAGGCTACTGAATCAGAACCATTACAAAACAAATGAACAGGATCAGTTTGTCATCAACATATTATGGATCCCATCCCTCCTTCTTTGGACACTCAGCACATCCATTGCTGAAGTGAGAGTTCTGGCATCATTTCCTTTCAGGGCATGGCTTTAAATATTGGTAAAAGCAAAACACCTGTGAAGAGTTGCTTTTAACATTTTACAAGACCTCAAAGGCTAGGATGTGGGTAAGAGAAGGACATTAAATAGAGAGAAATAGGGTGGTCATTGAGGTCAAGGGTCCACGTTTTCTCAATGACTGGTCATCTTCCTCTCAACCTCACTATTGTGTATTGAGCATCTGAGAGCAAAGGAATGATAGTGGTTTTTATTGTTCACATGTACAATTATCTCTTATTTGTTGTTTCTAGAATTATGTGGACTGGTTTGTTTTATTTGGCTTTTTGATAATTACATTATATAGGTATCTTTATTGAACCAAGAGCACCTAGAACAAGACAAGACAATACATAATGAAGAGCCAATCAGGGCACTAAGTTTGTGGCGTGTCCAAGTCCTTGTGTTCCAAGTTCTATCTGATGCTGTCAGACAGGATTCTCAGAAGCACCCAGTGTTTGCCTGAATCCCCTGACTATAAGCTTGTCTAGTCAACACCAGAGGGCTATACATTTTAGTCCACACTAGCTTGTGCTTTAGTCAACACCAGAGGGCTATACATTTTAGTCCACACTAGCTTGTTGCACACTAACTGGCCTGTGTGGATCCTGCTGGCATGCACTAGAAGTTCCCTACTGTGTGTTAACATAGTGCTGTTTGAAATGGGACTACATTAACATGTACTAGAAATTATCCAATACATGGTCCACATAGGTCAATTAACTCATGACAGATTAGTGTGAACTAAAGCTTGTACCCATCTGGTGCAGACTAAAACAATATGTAGACAAGCCCTGACACAGAGGCTAAGAGTCCCACTGATTTCAATGAGGGCAGAGCTAGGCCAGCATTGAGTGTCTAAAAATTATTAGTAGTGGTATTGTGGTAGCATCTACAAGTCCCATTCCTCGACCAGGACTCTATTGTGCTAGGTGTGGTACAGAGAACCAAAAAGACAGTTCCTGCCCCCATGGAGCTAGTAATCTAGGTAAAATCCTCTCCACCACATTAAAACGATCTTATTTAGCTTCCCAAAACTGTTTTGCTTAAACATGCAATGGCAAGAGAGATAACACATTTCAAAAGGCTAATTGACGCTCAGAATTTTGTACAAAATAAAGTATTGAGGAGATATATTAGTACAAGATCAAAACCGACTTTTCATTGTCTGCTATAAATGGTCTTTGGGTCAATATGAGGTAGGCTGAGTGAGCCTAGCTGGAAACTGTCTTAGCCTTGGTACAAGTTAGAACAACCACAGAATTTAAATGAGAGGAGAATTTGGTCTACAGTGTGAATAGTAATGCAATTGACAGTGTAAAAAATTCAATATTTAAGTAAGCATTTTGCTTCATTTATAATTTATATATGTGTAATAGCTTTGATACTAAAGACATAACCATAAAACATAAAAAGAGGATTTTAAAAATTCTACTCTGTGTTTGTTGGTGAGTTATGATAGCTGTTTTAGAAGGTATATATTCCTTTCCTGTTAACAATATATTCCCTTAACCAGATCAACTTTATAAATAATCAGAAAATTCGTTCTTTTCTGCTAATCTAATCCTTGGAAGGGGCTGTGGGACCAGGGGCAGACTATGAAAATAATCCATCTGGTTGTCTCATAAAACTGGTAACTTGTAAACATAGCTAAAACGTCTTTAAAATATTAGTGTTTGCTCTTCTTTAAGCTGGATGCTTTACACGCTACTGACTCTATCTCTGTCTCTGTTGCTTACGAGCAGCCAGTAATATAATAATTTAAACCCTTTTAAATTTATTCTGCTGTTTTGTTGAAGGTTGTGCATGAAAATCTGTGCTCACCACTCTCTGATTACCAGAAATTTTACTTTGCCTTTATGTTTTCAGAAGGACAACAACCATTTCATTTGAAGATTACTACAGGACATGGTCAGGAATAGCCACATCAAAAGCAGCAGAACATTTCAAAGTTCCATGTAAGATGATATGCCTGAATTAGTAAAATTAAACATAATGGTCCTGATTATTCTTCTCATTTTGGATTTACACTAGTGTAACAACTTTGCCTTCAGTGAAGTTGTTCCTGATTGCGAGATCGAGATCAAGCCATATATCTGAAGCATTCACACATTAGGATCAGATCCTTAGCTGATGTAAATTGACATAACTGCAATGACTTCAGTAGAGCTATGTCCGTTTACACCAATTGACGATTATGTTTTTATTTTATTATTGCATTGTCCTATGAGTCCGAGTGATGGACTCAGGCTAGCACAGTGGGTTCAATTTCATAATGTGAAACAAAAAGAGGGACTCTGCGCTCCAAAGAGCTTACAATTTAAGTAAGTTCTTGTTAGGATGTTTGGAAAGCTAGTTTGTACTTGAAGAAAACAAATTAAGGAGTCATTAGTGAAGTGTAAACAATTATGATGAGTAGGAAAACATTTTGAGAGGATGATAAAATCAAAATAAAACAGATGTGGACTGTGGCCAACACAGCCCTGGTGATAATGCAGTGTTGCATTACTACAGTCTGTTATAACCAGGGCCGGCTCTACAGAGCGCAGGGCCCGATTCCACGGGCGGGGCCACACATGCTCGGGGCCCCAGGCAGCACGGTTCATGCATTGCGTGCCAGAGGCACGACGCATGCCCCCTGTGTCCTGGACATCACGACACATGCGCTGTGTGCCCACACGTGCGCAGTGCCCCAGGAGTACAACGCATGCGTGACCCCCAGGCGCTTGGTGCATGCACTGGGCGCATGCGCCATGCACCCAGGACGTCACGACGCATGCGCCATGCGCCCGGGGGCCCCCGCGCAAGCATCGTGCTCCTGGCGCACTGCGCATGCATCGCTTCCCTAGGTGCGGGGCCCCCTCAGGTGCGGGGCCTCACGGCGGGGAATCAGCTTAATCGGCCTAAGTCCGGCCCTGGTTGTAACTAAGGGTGCGTCTACACTGCACCCTAAACTCAAAATAAGATATGCAATTTGAGCTATGCAAATTGCATATCTTATTTTGAATCTATTTTGAAATTTGGTGCATCTACACAGTGCCAAATTTTGAAATAACCTGCTATTTTGAGACATCCCTTAACCCTTGTGGAACAAGCGTTATCGGGATGCCAAAACAGTGCACCCATTATTCTGAAAAATATTTTGAAATAACAGGCCTCTTGTGTACAAGCAGCGTAGCTATTTGGGGATATCTCCGGTATCCCACAATAGCCATGAAGTGTAAACATACCCGAAGGGTATGTCTACACTACCCCGCTAGTTCGAACTAGCGGGAGTAATGTAGTCATCCACACTTGCAAATGAAGCCCAGGATTTGAATTTCCCGGGCTTCATTTGCATGAAGCCAGCCGGCGCCATTTTTAAATGCCGGCTAGTTCGGACTCCGTGCCGCGCGGCTACACGTGGCACGGACTAGCTAGTTCGGATAAGGCTTCTAATCCGAACTAGCTGTATGCCTCGAACTAGCGGGGTAGTGTAGACATACCCTTAGTTACTAGTGCATTTGGACTCAGGGCAGTGCTTCAATAGTATTTTAGTGGGATTACTTATCAGAGTTTCAGTTTACAAGATCAGGTTTGTATAGTTATTTATTACATACTAACAGGTGAGGCCCGTCATTGACCAGGCAAAGTCATTTTGTATAGATTACACTTATAGGAAAATTCAAGAAATTAAATATATGCAATTGAATTTTTTATAAATGTGCTTACAAAAGGGAAGTAAAAAAAGTTTTAAATTTGTAGGATTTCAACTTAAAACATTATTTTATTGAATAATTATCATATATAATAAATTTGAGTCAGAAACTCTTAATGAGTGAAGAAAATTAACTTGTGTTGGCTGAAATAAAATATAAAAATAAATCAAAATAAAAAATGAAATTTGAAATAAATCGCTGGTGCATAAAAATCTTTAGACAATAATATCAAGCAATCAATTCTGATTCTTTTTAATATTTATTGAAGTAAATAACAAAACAAATATGAATGCCAAAAAAGGTAACGCCTATCACGTAAAGCTTCCATTACTCTTTCTGTAACTAATGTGAATGAATTAGTGATTTGTAATGGTAAAAATTTTCTTTGCATTAAAATGACAGTTGAATAGGTGACTCAATTTTAATTTTGTTAGCAAATATTTTTATGAACGCTAATAATAATAGTCATGGTTTTTTTCCAATGAAAAACAAAATAACTATGTAAACCTTTCATCCAGCATATTCCAGTGTAAAAAGTAGTGCATTCAGCAAATTTAAGTGGCAACTAATTTTATGCAAAATTTGGTATCTATAAGTAATCATGAAATATGACTTTATTTTGCGCAAACAAATCCACAAAATATATAGTAGATTCTATTTTTTTAAAAGTCATATAATTGCCATTTTATGTTCATGCATTTCAATGCTAATTCTTGTCCTATTTTCTTGTTTTATTCATAATACTTAAGAAATGCACATACATTATTGCCATACACCAAAGACCAAAATTTGCTCTTGATTACAGGGGATCTTCGCTATAATTCCAAGATATGTTCCAAAAGCTTGGACTTACAGCAAAACAACTTAAAGCAGGGAATTTTTTTCCCGCAGCTGCCTTCCAATTAAGCAAATTGTGGGGAGTGTTTTGCATGACTTATCACTGGGAATGGGAGGACTTATAATGCATCAGTTCCTACAAACATCAACGACTTTAGTGTGGAATGGATGTATACTGGCGCGACTTATAGTGGGGACTCCCTGTATATTAGTGTTTATCAGAGTAACTCCACTGACTTTTGTGGAATTATTTCAAATTTCCTTCACTTTAATGTAGATCAGAGTCTGAACCCGGGACCTACTGAGGTCCTGATTCCATTGCAGTTGATAGCAAAACTCTCATTGACTTTAATAGTGCAGGATTCTGCTGTAAACTTCTCTAAGTGATTTCATCTGCCTTACTGAACTCTCCAGCTACAGTGAGGGATGCAGCAAACTGTGTACCTTCTCCCTGATGAAAGATAGTACAGGATTCTGCTATAAACTTCTCTGAGTGACACATATGCTCGTACTAGGGATGTTAGATATTGAGTAATATAATAGTCTAGTAACTGCATGAATTCTTATTGGTCACTCAATTATTCTGTAGTCCCCAGGGGTGGGGCCAGCAGCCAGTGTGTTCCAGTCCGGCTCCTGGGGGAGCCCCCGGCTATTCTGTGCTGCTGCCTCTGCTTCAGGATGCCAGGCAGAAGCTGGTCCATGAGGGAAACCAGTTTAAAATCCAGATCCCTGCGCAGACCAGCTGCCTGCTGCCCTGCACTGCTGCCTCTGATACAACCTCTGCAAAGGATGCAGAGCAGCTTCTGTCTGCAGCCCCCCCCCCCCCCCCCCCCCAGACAGGGGCTGCTTCAGGCCAGCCTCTCCTGGCTTTTCTCCCCACGCTGCTGCCTCTGATAAGAGGCAGCCATGCGGGGGAGAGGGAACAGGTGGCACCACAGAGCTGGTGCTGGGGGGAACTGACTCTTAAGCTGGCTCCCCCAGCACCACCTCCTACTTCCTCTCCACTTGTTGCCTCTGATACAGAGGCAGCAAGGGGTGGGACAATGCGAGTAGTTGACTACTCATTGACATCCCTAGCTTGTGCTACTTTGATATTTAATATTGTTTTGGGAAATGTAATGACTGGTGAATCTTTTTCTCTAATTGTAACTTTCTGTCATTATGCCATTACAGTGTTTGAAGATCCAGCATTTATAGGGAACTATTATGACCGGAAGGCAAAAAATGTGACAGGAACAGGAGAATGGGATGAGGATACGTAAGTGTCTTAAATCGACTGAGCTTAAATTGCTAAACGTTTAGGCCCAGGGTCTTTGTGCATGCAATGGAAATATTTGAACAATAGTGTTTTTGTTGTATTTTCAGGCTGTCCATACGTGTACCCTATAAAATGTTATTGGACTATTGATAATTTCCCTGAACTGTGTCTTTGATTTTGAGGTGTAAGGCCAAATCCCACTTGTGTTGTGTGGATGGTGTGAGGGGGAGGGAACAGAAGCAGGGAAGGATTCCCACCTAGCTTCCACGAACATTCTGGGACCAGGCTCTACTAGAATGGATGTGTGCTGCTCTTTTATGGAGCCACAGCAATGAGGGGAGCCTCTTCAGCACCAGAACGACTCTGGGACTCCCATTGGTTCTCCACCACTTCCTTCCACCCTGCCTAACACAGCTCAGACAAGTAAAGCCAGCTCAGGAGCTCAACCAAGGCTCTTATATCTTGATTGCCTATTAAAATTTTGCTCTCAGTTCCCCTGTGACTGAAGTCTTGTTTCCAAGCAGCATTTGTAAGGAAAAGGTGAATCAAAATGCAAGGTCATTGTGCTGCCCTGTAATCTTTCAGCTCAATCTAGGCTTTCTCATTCCTTTTTATTGCTGCTGAAACTTTATGACAGGTCAACATTTAGGAACTCCTTTTACCATTCAAATCCTATTTGCCTTCATTATGAATTGGAAGCAAATGAACGGGTAATTTCAGGTTGAAGGACAGCAAGTTTTGAACCCAAATTAAAAGCTTATTTTTCTTTCTGAAGAACCTCTAGAATTCAAGGTTAATTTTCCTTTGACACAACTTCCTTGTTTTATTTCCTTTAACAGAACTCCTTTGTTTTATACTCCTTTGATAATTGTTTCATTATGTAGTACAATAGCATCCTACATGACCCAAGAAAATATTCAGAAAAACCAGGAACTTGTCCTTTTAAACTCATCTGTCCTTTTTGTCATATGGCTCAACAAGCAGGAGTTGTTGAGAAAGCTGCCTTCTTCACTGTCAAACATATCAAATTTGTCATGTTAGTTTCATTGGAGCTAGAAAGTAAATTACCATGGGGCAGAGGAGGGATCCTACTGGTTTGAAATAGCTGCATCTCACTGCCATCTGGTGGTAGGACACCATGTACTTTTAACAGATTTTTATTTCTGCCTTTGAACTTCTGGGCTTGATAATCAAAGGCAGGTTCAAATACCCAGAACCAGGTTCAGACAGAATTACCTCTCCTATGGTATTCTTTTCCCAATTGCAAACAACTCACAAAACATATTTGTGCTTAAAGCTTGCAATATGTCCCTAACTCGTAGCAGTAGGTAGGGAAGAAATATGTCGCATTTTGTGACATCTGTGCAGAAACAACCTAAATTGTTGGCTAAATAATATAATTTTCTTCTTAAATTTGTGACTAAATTTAGGAAATGTTTTAAAGTAGATTGCAACACAGTTTGCTTTTCTATAACACTGTTTATATAAAAGTATTGCAAGATGTTTCTCATCTGTTTATGTATATTAATTTACTACACTAATGTAGATGTATTTAGTGCTGAAGCAAACTCAGCTCTCAGTTACACGAGTAAAAATCTGGACTAACTCTGCTGAGCCTATTATTTACTCTGGAGTAACAGCTCATGTGGCACATCATCACTATATGAGAGAATCACCAATTTTGGTCAGATGTATTCCTGGAGGTTTGATTATATGTCATAATCTTTAATTAAAGATTAATCTTTAATTCCTGGAGGCTCCTGGACAATCCTGTAGGGTTGGCAGCCCTAGTGAAGCGATATAGAGAGAACGCTCTGTCATAATGGATCCCCCAGGTACAAGATATGCTGTTTATAATTTTAGTGAAATTATAAAATCATAGGCCAGAAAGCAGATGTGGATCTTGAAATGGCATTTACAGCAGCCAGAGAGTCAGAGCAGATGGAAAGATCTTCTGATATTGACGGTAGAAAGAGTTGACTCTTGTGGAGAGACAAAGGGGATGAATAGTGAAGAAGTAGCATTTGGAGGGCATATGGAATGGCCTGAAGTGTGGGAGGATCTTGAAAATGGATTGTTAGGTCTTATATCAGAGTGAAGTTTTCTGAAGATGAGAATAAAAGGAATAAAGAAGTTTCCCAGTACATGGCTATCAGTCTCGTTTGGCAAAGTACTTGAGCATAAGCTTTTAGCTGAGGATCTCGAAGTGCTTTACTAATTAATTCAGCTGCACAATTCCCCTGTGTGGCAGGTAAATCCATTACCTTCATTTTGTACATGAGAAGACATGAAAAGTTAAGTGACTCAATGTGGTAAGAACTATGTAAAGATTGATCCTTTAGTAATTTTCCTTCTCTGATCTGAAAAGGTATTCCAATCATGTAGACTAACTGAGCCCCATTTACTTTTTTTTAAATTCAGTGCTTGCTGGGATACTTCAGAAGAAAAAAGTACATAAAACCAAAGTACTTCTACATATTCTTTATTTTTTTAACTCATCCTATCTGAAAAAGTGGTGCAGTTTTATTTATCAAAAGCTAAGACCTTGTTTGCCACCTTGTGGTTGGAAAGAGAATGCACCAAACAAATGTTCTTTTTCTGGTGCCGAACTTTCAATTTCATTTTTTCAAAGATAAATTAAAAGTCCCGTTAATTGCGGCCCATTTTATAGCCTTTTTGCCCAGTTCAAATGGATCATAAATATTCCAGAAGGTATGAATATATCAAATATTTTCTAAAAGCCAAGACAAAATAAAAAGATATTTAAAAAGCCATCCTATTATGCCTGTTTTAAAGTATGTCATACTATGTATTTCATTACTTCGACAGTCTTCTCTCACACCTTTAATTATATTCTGATGATGCGGACGCACTAATGATGCAGACAGACAGTAGGGAGAAGTCTGAGATGTTAACAATAGCAAATGAATCCTTCAAAGGGAACCTAAGTGTAGGTGTGATGTACCGGGGTGGGGAGGGAGGGGAGAAAAGGGGGGTGTCAATCCAGATTAATGAATAGCTGTGTCACCTCAGCCCTGTGACCTGGGGTGCCCATTCAGAATGATTTGCAACTCACAAACAGCCTCCAGCATGTAGGTCATTCCCAGCTATGTCTCTGTGAGTTCTGCAGCCCGCTAACCACATCTTGGCTCTTTCCAGTCTTAAAGTGGATCTCAACACATTCCCAGGTTACATCTGCATTACAGCAGAAAATCAATTTAAGCTACGCAACTCCAGCTATGTGAATTACATTGCTAGAGTCAACGTACATTAGGACAAGTTATGTAGATGTAGCCCAGGTTTCACATTTTCCCCTAGGAACACATGTTCTGTACTGTCCAGTCCTCTCCTGGACAGTGCAACTATACTGGATTCATTATTTCTTTAAGGGACTAATATGTGCATGCCTTGTTTCCCTAAATGGAGTTACCCAGCGACTTCAAACTGAACACACTGGATTAGATAAAACAGTAAAACTAGATTATTAACTGCAAAGAGAGAGATTTTAAGTGAGTACAAGTAATGAGGCATAAACAATAGAAATGGGAAAAAAGAGGTTTGTACTCATGCCTAGCTTTACAAACTGTATTAGATTCAAGCACAGTTTCTCTCTTCTCCAGCAGATAGTTGACTAAACTCTCAGGTCAGGATCCTTCTCTCTGAATCCAATGCCTGCTTCCTTTCTCTCTTCAGGTGCAGTGAATGCAATAAGCAGAGAAAGAAAAAGTGCTGCCTTGTACTGTTTGACCATCTTTTTTTATTGTTTTAGTCTCCTCTGGAAAAACATTTCCAGATAAGGTGCACCAACCAATGAGCCTTTGTGGAAGGATATTTCCTCCTTTTTTCATCTGTTTGAATTTTCTTTGTTTCCCTTCCTGCTTGATGACTCTGTTGTTGTTCCAATGCAAATTAAGCAGAATAGATATTCCTTTGTTTAGGACCGACCTTTTTGCCAAATTCTGTTTGGGCAACGCTGTAGGGCTTAGAACACGTGTTAAAAATTAAAAATCCAATCGTGCTAAAAATTCACGTTCTTGGATTTGTGTCGCAAGTAACACCTCAAATTATTAAAATGCAGGTAACCTAAAGTGATCACAAGCAGGTCCATATGGACCAATTAATGCACAGCACATTACTATGCTTCAGAAAACACCCCCTCCCCCATAGTATGAGTTCCCCAGCAGTGTAGACAGGCCCTCAGTTTCACATACATCTAGAAGGGTCAGTTCTGCAAGGTGCCAAACACTCCAACCCTGGTCCAGCAAAGGACTTAGAATATGATTAACTGCAATTATTCAAGTACTCTCATTGACTTCAATGAGACTAAATCACTTGTTTAAAGTTACGTGTCTACAGAAGTGACCGTTAAGGAAGGACAAGGGGCGGGGGGACGGCACTGGCCACATGACCACCTCTCCCCCACATGACTCCTTCCCATGGCACCCCTAGTCCAGGGGAGGGCCAGGACAACCTCACCTATGCCCCAGACCCTGTCCTTCGGCACACCTGCCCTAGCCTTTCTCTACCTCTTCCCTGCCCTTGCTCTGACCCCTCCCAGTGATGCCACTTGGGGGACTAATGGGAGTCTGGCGCTAGCAGCGGGGCTGGCAGCTGCAGCCCACTTCCTCAGCTGCCAGCTACATCATTCCACTTCCTGCCAGTGAGTGCAGGGCGGGGGTTGGGCTGTCCCAACATTCCCCTGGTGACTTGGCTGGGAGCTAGGGAACAGAGCCACATTGCTTCCCCCCTATTTCTCCCAGTGAGTGCAGGAAGGCCTTACCCCTGCTGCGGGTGCCAGGTAGGCTCTGGCCCCTTGCCCCTCCACCCATGACATTTGGGTGGGCTGCGTGCCTCCTCATTCCCCCCTCACACATTGCCCCTATATGTGTGCATAAAGGCTTTCCTGGGTTGAGGCCAGAGTTAACAGAACCATACCCATAATGACTGTTATTTCCAGGTATTATTTATTACAGCCTCTTAACGCTTTGGTGACACAGAATGGACTTAAGCACATGTTTAAAGTTAAGCACATGCTTAAGTCTTCTGTTCAACTGGGCCTTATATAAGATAGTTTTGACCACAAATATGAATTTGATTAAAACTAAGTTCAGCATGTCCATTCATTTACTTCTGTTTCTGCTTACAGATACAAAGCTATTGTCTCTCGGCTCATCAGAAAGCAAAATCAACAAACAATAGATGAGAAACTGTTAGCAATTAGGAAAATAGAACAGGAAAACAGTTTGTTCTCCCAAGCTCCAGGTAAGGAATCAGTCCCATATAATGTAATGTTTCCGATATATATATACGTAGAACTTGATTTACACTGGTGTAAATCAAAATTCACTCCGTTGTATTTTAAAACCAATATGGCGAGGAGTCCTGTGGCACCTTCTAGACTAACTGAAGTGTTGGAGCATAAGCTTTTGTGGGAAAAACCCACTTCGTCAGATGCATCTGACGAAGTGGGTTTTTCCCACAAAAGCTTATGCTCCAACACTTCAGTTAGTCTAGAAGGTGCCACAGGACTCCTTGCTGCTTTTGCAAATTCAGACTAACACGGCTACCCCTCTGATACTTAAAACCAATGTGAGATTATAAATCAGACCTGAAGGGTGTTGACATTATTTACTGTGATAACTTGGGATGTTAGATACCGTGTAATTGAACAGTCGTATAACGGCATCAAATTTTAGTGGTTACCCAACTATTAGATAGTCCCCGGGGGTGCAACCACCTGTCACCCCATACTGCTGCCTCTAATACAGAGGCATCAGCGCAGGGTGGCAGCATCCCCTGTCCGGTCCATGGGGGAAGTCAGAGCTTCATGCTGACAGAAGCTGCACTGTGGAATGCCACAGTGGATAGGGAGCTCTGATGCCCTGTGGATAGGGTCTGCTGTCTCTGATAGAGGCAGCAGCAGGGGAAGGAGGCAGGTAGCACTGCAGATCTGGTGCTGGGGGGAATCGGCTTTTAAGCTGGCTCCCCCCAGCACTGGTTCTTGCCTGCCCCATTCCCACTGCCTCTCTAGGCGGGGGGCAGATGGCTCTGTGGAGCCAGCACATGCAGAGAGCCGGCTTTCACCCACCCCCCTCACTCACTGTGCTGCTGCCTCTCTATCAGAGGTTGGGAGTGGGTGGGTGGATCCGGTGGGAATGGGGAGCAGCCTTAAAGCTGGTTCCCCACAGTCACCAGCTCCCACCTTCCCCCTACTCCCTCCCCCACTGTCTCTGATACAGAGGCAGAGGGAGAATGTGTGTAGTCGATAGGCTTAACCAATGAGCCAAAGCTTATTGGTTAATCATGTAGTCATCTATACTTTGACATCCCTAGTAATAACCAGGATTCCAGGGGAGCCAGCTGAGGTCACTTAGTTAGGGTGCTCTGCAAAAAATGGGACAAAAAGCTGGTGGTTATTCCAATATTTATATTTACCAAGCCAGCACAAAACAGCTTCTGTATTACTAGAACCCTGGGTAGATAGAAAATTTGTATCTACATCCCTGTTCACAAAAACAAGCTGCGGCTATCCGCTTTCACATCCACAGATGTGGATACCTGCAGATATAAAGTGAATATCTGCAAATTTGCAGAGTTCTAGGTATAAAATTTGTATCTACATTTGCACCTGTATCTGCAAAAAAACGATATAAAGCAGCTATCCATGGATTGTCAGGCTCTATGTATTTCCTTGTTGGTTAATCAAAAGTTCCTGGAAGTACCAATCACCTAGACACCCAAGTCAAATAAAGGTCTATGAATCCCAAGGGACTTATTACCTACCAGGTCAATAAATATTTAAAATCTTATCCAAAATACAGGCTCCCAGCCAATTCCTATTAACTAAACTAAAACTTATTTTAAAAGAAAGGAGAGAGTATTGGCTAACAGATCAATATACATACAGACAAAAGTTCAATTTTGAGGTTCAGATACATAATAGAGATGGACTGGACTGACTGGACTAAGCTGTTGGTTGATGGATCTTGTCTTCTGTGACACCACTGGTGAGCGACTAAGCCAATCCTCAATCGGCAAATCAGATTATAGTTGTCACATAAAAATCTACCATCTGTGGGTGTTGTATGCTCTTTTCGGCTCCTATGCTTTTCTTGTAATGGCTGGATAGGTTGACTCTTGAGAGCCTGTACAATAGTTTGCTGTCGGAACAATCTTTCCTGAGCTATGATTTCCAGGTCACAGGAAGATATGCCACATTACTTCACATTGGCCTTTAAGATATCTTTAGAATGCTTATACCAACCACCTGTTGAGCACTTTCTATGAACAAGCTGTCCAAAGAAGACCATCTTTGGTATTCATGTATCATCCATTCCCATAATATGACCAATCCAACAAAACTGTTGTTCATAAACATTGCTTCCATGTACGTGACATCACATAGCTTCAGGACCTCAGTGTTTGGAGTTTTGTCCCACCAATTCACATGGGCAGTCTTCTTGCAGCAGCACATATGGAATTGATTGAGTTTCAAAACGTGGTGGAGATATATGGCCCATGACCCCAAGCCGTACAGCAGGATATTCAGGACAACTGCCTGATAAATGTTACCTTCATATGAATACTAACACCATGGTCATTCCATAAGCACTTGGTCAGCCTTTCAAAGGCAGGGCTGATTTTGACTAGCTAAGCAGGTACATCAGCAGCAGCGTTTATGCTGGTCACAAAAGGTAGCAAAACTTATCAATAGCCTTAAGAAGAGTATCAGCAGCAGTGATCTCTGGAGTGCTGGGTTCTTTCTGAACAGACTGAGCCTTAACCTCTGTATTCTTGAGGCTCACAGTGAGTCCAAAAACAATGAGTACAAGTAGCAAGCCAATCAAAAAGCTCCTGTGCACCCTCAACTGAATGATCCAACAATGCACAGTCAGCACAGATAGTTGGAGTGAATGCTTTGGTGCAAGCCTGGTGTCTTCAAAGGTTACAAATCAGTTCAGAATTGAATGGGTATGCCCAACACGCAATCCTTGACAGCAACTAGAGCACCATTGAAAAGTAGATGCTCTACAGGAAAGAAGCAAGGACACATCCTTGCTTTGTATCATTTGATACTTCAAAAGGGACTTATGTCTCTGCATTGTTAAAGATATGAACAAAAACACCATCACGAAAGGACCGAACTATATTGATAAATTTTTCAGGACAGCCAGTTCACCCAATTACCTTCCAATGCCCATTTCTTTTGACTGTATTGAACACCTTGTTGATGAAAATCACATAGAGATCCTGATGTTGCTGTCTACATTTTTCTTGGTTCTGCCTGACTCTGAATATCATAAAATCATAGAATCATAAAATACTAGAGCTGGAACGGACCTCAAGAGATCATTAAGTCCAATCCCCTGCCCTTACAGCAGGACCAAGCAGCATCTAGATCATTCCTGATAGACATCTATCCAATCCGCTCTTAAATATCATGTCAACAGTGCTTCGATTGGCATGAAATCCACACTGACCTTCAGGAATGATGCCATCTGTGAACATGTGTAATGACAGCCGGTTGCAGAGGATGCAGGCCAGGATCGTACTAGCTATAGATAGCAGTGAGATGCCCCGGTAGTCATCACAGGATGCACGGTCACCCTTTCTCTTGCATATGTGTATCGTCATGGCATCTTTGAAGTCCTGGAGGACTTGTTCTTTCTTCCAAATGGTGATAAATAAACAAGTGAGATGGTTTATGCTCCCCCTTCATGAAACCATAAGCAAATCTGAGGCGGGGTGAGGGGGCAAAGATCAAGACCCTGGGGCCTTTTATACAGTCCTGGGTAAACAACAGGATTTTGATGTAACCTTCTGTTTCCCAAACATCTTGGTAATTAGCATAAAGTAATTTATCCATTAAGTAGTTGTCGCACATTTTACAGAGACATCTCAATAATGACATTTCATCACCCAAGTTTCATCTAAATGTTAATATTCCCTTTTGATCTCTGAATCAACAATTATAATGATAGACAGGAACTGTATGTTTACATGGCTAGCACCTATATGGTATAAGTAAACGGATATAACTAGCATTACCTCTAATTTAACAATACAGATTTGCATTTCAAAGTTCTAGCCTAACTACCTAGCATTGAATGTCCTTAATTTACATGGTTCTCACCTGCCTCTATAGGTTGACGCAGGATCATTTAACCCTTTCTGACCATGTGTCCTATTTGGCATAAGGTTTGTTGCAACCATATAACAATGGTATCAACAATGGCTTTTTACGGTCATATTATAATCAGATAACACCACCAAGGGCAGAAATAGTGTCTATCACTATTCACCCACATTCGAATTTGCTACACCTCTGTGCTGGTTGCTGCTTTTATTCTCTATTATATTCGAGAATAATATATGAATATTCTATGTCATACTCATTATGTTATTCGAAGTATAAATGGAACTTGCTTAAGAACTTCCACCCTGCAGTGAGAACTGACCAGGGACCTGATCCAAACCCCACTGATGCACTGGGAGTCTATTCATTCATTTCATCATTTGGAGCCTGATCCATTGCTCAAGTTTACAGGTCTGATTCTCCTCACTTTGTCTAGTGAAAATGTAAGTGAAGTTTCACTTGTGTAAAACTGGTGTAAATAAAAGGAGAATCATACTCTACATTTGTAGGATCAGAAAAAAGGCTCCATTTCAACTGGTAAAAGATACATGTGCAAGCTTTTCATGTCGATGCGGAGAGCTGAACCACAGCTGTTACATGTGGAAGTTAACAGACTCCTATTAACAAAGTCTTTAATTATACTATGAGGCTATGTCTACACTGGCGGGTTCTTGTGCAAGAATATCTTGCGCAAGAGAGAATCCACACTGGCCGGAAGCATAGCGCAAGAACGCTGCACTCTTTCACAAGAAAGTGTCCACACTGGCAGGATGTCCTTGTGCAAGAACTTGGCCCCGGAAGCACTCCGGCCATGTCAAGAGGTCACCAACGGCGTCTGTGGGTGTGCACCGGTCCCCCACTGGGAAACACGCTTAAAGGGACCCCTGGACGGCCGTTTCCCTGCGGCTGCGTGCTGAGGCACCTCTGTGAGGCATCGAGAGCCACAGCCATGCCTTCCACCTCAGCCCCTGGCAAGTGGCCCTCGTTACAGCCATGGAGACAGAGAGGGACCCCACCCAGCAAGGTCCCCTCATGGTCATCACTGAGGCTGTGGAGGTCCTTCAGCAGGGAGTCACACTGCTCCAGCAGGAACTGGAGACTGGGCAGCACATGCTGGACCAGATGA